ATGCTCATCTTGGGTCGTATTCTTCTGGGGATTGGTGTCGGATTTGCTAATCAATCTGTCCCTATTTATTTGTCAGAAGTTGCTCCCTACAAATACAGAGGGACTTTCAACGTGTTATTCCAAATGGCCATCACCATTGGGATTCTGATAGCGAATTTGGTCAACTTTGGAACTAGCAAAATCTCTGGCGGTTGGGGTTGGAGGGTTAGCTTAGGAGGTGCAGCCGTGCCAGCACTAGTCATCCTGGTTTCCTCAATGTTTCTCTCTGATAGTCCGAGTTCGTTGATAGACAGAGGAAAGAAAGAGGAGGCAGAACAATTGTTGAAAAAGATCAGAGGAGTTGATAACGTAAATGCTGAATTTAATGACCTTGTTATGGCGAGTGAAGCATCCAAGAAAGTAGAAAGGCCATGGAATAATCTTTTATTCGTCCGAAAGTACAGACCGCAGTTGGTTTTGTCAATTCTGATTCCATCTTTACAGCAGCTTACGGGAATTAACGTGGTCATGTTCTATGCTCCAGTACTTTTCCAAACATTAGGGTTTAAGAGTAACGCTTCGCTTATGTCAGCTGCTATCACTGGCGGTGTCAACGTGGGTGCAACTTTTATTTCAGTCTTTTGTACGGATAAGTTTGGGAGGAGAATACTCTTCTTCTGGGGTGGCATCTTCATGTGTATATTCCAAACAGCAGTGGCAGCTCTTATTGGGGCAAAATTCGGAACAACAGGGACTGCAACAGATTTGCCACTTTGGTTTGCAGCTTTAGTGGTTGTCTGCATCTGTGTATTCGTTGCTAACTTTGCGTATTCATGGGGTCCTTTAGGATGGTTGGTTCCGAGTGAGATATCTCCATTGGAAGTTCGATCAGCAGCACAATGTGTTACGGTCTCCATGAACATGTTTTTCACATTCGGAGTAGCACAAATATTCTTGAAGATGCTATGTGGGATGAAGTTTGGTCTATTTATCTTCTTTGCGGCGTTTGTGTTAATAATGACTGTGTTTGTCTACTTGTACGTGCCCGAAACAAAGAATATACCAATTGAAGAGATGTCTCAAGTTTGGAGAGAGCATTGGTACTGGAAGAAGTTCGTGGCCGATGATGATGCAGAATCAAAGCCACAAGGGAATGGCACAAAGCCTGCGAAGGAGATAGTCTAAAGCATATAGGATTGGCACACTGATGAAAAAAATATATTCATTTGTATGTTTTACTGTTTTCGTGTTTTTTTATTCTAATGTTTTGGTACAGTTGGGTGCTCTTAGACTTGTTGTTTTCCATAGTAGTGCTGGTTTTTTTTTTTCTCAATTCAATATATTCTTGTTTTCAGTAGCAATTATTTCTTATGATATGCAAGAGTAGTATTTATAGATAGTAGAAGCAGACTTAGAAGAAAACAAAACGAATTGATATTTGAGGGAAAACGCTAATGTCTGTCTCAAAGGTGCAGAAAAGGGGAAACATAAAAGAAGAAAACAAAACGAATTGTCTATTAGCCTCAGAACCTTTTATGTATAAACAGATTGTTGGTAAATGCAAGCATGCTTGTTAAATGTTCAATTTGCAGTCCGAGACGGTTTTGTCTAGAGCTCTTCTCCAGTTGTCTCAGAATTATGTCATCCACATATACAGTAATTATAACTAACTTAATTAGATGTTGTTTACTTTATTAAAACGCTTGGACAAATAACATCATTCATGTACTTTCACTAAATATTCACAAATAGCTAATCCATAAAATGATCTTTTGTGGAGTAATTTTATTCAGAACATTTTTCGGCTGTTTAAGGCTTTAAGCTACATGCTTTAGGCATTTTAGCTAATGCATTACATATAGGACTTCCTTAAATCCACTTGGGTGTAGTTATTTAAATCCAACCCCTATTTATTGTGCATCAACTCATCTTGATAAATAGTATCTCTTGTTTTTACGTAAAAATAGCACGGGCTAGCTAGTTTTCGGACAGATTATTCAAAAATAGTCAGTGTTTGCAAAATCATTGAAAAATAGCCACTATTTTGGACAATACGGAAAGTTCCAGCATAATATACTGGAGATCGATGCACATGTGTATGAACTTCCAGCATATTATGCCGGACCGTTCCAATATATTATGCTGGAGTATTTTCCGGGTTTTGAACAGTGTTTTCGTTCAGATTTATCTTTATATGAAAAGTGACTTAATTTCAATTACTTTTGAAACTGTAACTATTTTTGAATGACCACTTATAAATCTGGCTATTTTTGAATTTCTCCCTGTTTTTACTTACCGGATCTGCATATGGCATCACGTTTATCACGAAAGCGGGCACGTGCATTTTGGCTCAATGCATAATATTAATTAACAAGGCAGAAGTTTGGTACACATTAAATTAAATGAAAAGGAACGTTGGCACTTGACCATATAAGATAAGGCATTTCCCACTGTTAAGCCAAAGCTCACTGTACAATTTTCATTTCTCCTCAGTCTTTCTTCTTTTGTTCCAATGGCTACCAATGAAGTGATTGTGGCCATGATTCTATTTCTTCAATATAGCCGTCTCAATCAGTTCTTCGTTCTTGCTCGTTTCATTTCCTCTCATAATTGAAGAACCAGCTCCATAATGAGTTTTATGTGTCTTTCTTTATTTCTAGTTCAAAGTGTAGTAGGCATTTTGAGTTGTACCTTTCAGCTTTCTTAGAAGCAAATTGTACTAGGTACCTGAGTTGTATCTTTCAAGTTAGAGTTAACTTGAAGTAGTCGCAATAGCCTGTGGCGTGTTGCTATAAGGGTTAGAGTTAATCCTTAGGTTTGCAAGAGGTTGTAAACTCTAGTTGTATTGTTCAAGTTAGAGTTAACTTGAAGTAGTCGCAACAGCCTGTGGCTGGTTGCTACAAGGGTTAGAGGTAATCCTTAGGTTTGCAAGAGTTTGTAAACATTGTTGTTGGCTCAGAATTGTAGTGAAGTGTTTGGGAAAAATCCTACTGGGTAGTAGGTCGTGATTTTTTCACCTTTTGAGCTGGGTGTTTTCCACGTAAAAACCCTTGTGTTCTTTACTTTCTGCATTATTTATTCCGCAAATGTAGTGTAAGGAATGTATAGAAGAACCAGGTCCTTCGATAATCCAGTGCACACGAAAATTGGGCACCACACAAATCCCTCCCCCCCCCCCCCCACCTTGTATGGTATTGAAGTATAAAACATCAATTGGTATCAGAGCAGGTTATCCCTGAAGAGGCTAACACCTTAGAAATAGATCAAGATGAGTGCACTACTTGGAAACTGTAAAGAGCAATCCACCACTAGGCCACCACTATCCAATGATCACTACTATTGCTTATGGAAGGAGAGGAGAAGAGATCACTTGCTGATGACTAATGGATGCTTCAAATGTAATAAAAAGGACCACATGATCAAGAACTGTCCTATGTGAAAAGTCGAGTGGATTAAGGAGAGATCTAAAAGATGAAATAGAAAGAAGGAACATGTTCATGATAAGAAGAAATACAACAAAGGGTCATCCAAAGCAATGGTTACTGCTTAGGAAGAATGTTCAGATGAGGACATTGATGATGATGATGATGATGATACTGGACGAGCTCTTATAGCAATTCAAGAATCTAAAGATGAACCTGATGAAGAATCTTAGATAAGTCTTATGGACCTAACGGATAAAATTAAATTCCTTTCTAAAGATAGACTATCAGAACTATTGCTAACTTTAATTGATGAATCTAAGAATATAAGTTATGAAAAAGAACGATTGTCAAAAGAGTGTAACTTTATAAAAGCAAAGTGCAAAAACCTGGAAATTAAGGCTTCTGAAACTGAAAAAGAAAATATTGTTTTGAAGAACCAGGTTCAAGCACTTGACACAGCTGTCTTAGAACTTAGATCTGATAATTTGAAATTGAAGTTAGGAACAGGTAAAGAAATAGCTGGTGTCACACAACTCAAACTAGAAAAAGATTTAGGAAAGGTAAAAGATGATCTACATAAAAGGGATGAATAGGTAAGAGTCCTAACGGAGGATCTGAGCAAGGTTAAGCATGAGCTAGACAGAGCTTGTAAATGGAACAGGTCCTCTAATGCACTTTCATGGCTATAAGAACATCATAGTAGGAACGGAAGAGGACATGGCTTTGGGAACTCTACATCTAAGTGGGATCCTAAAAGCAAGTACCTCACACTCCCCGAGAACAAGATTTGCACACACTGTGGTAACACCGGTCACTATAAAAGTGAATGCACTGCAAAAGAGAAGGCAAGTCAAAAGAATAAAATTTTTGTTTTAGAGAAAAATAGGCTGCCAAGTTGGGCTAAAAAGAATGTGATTTATCCTTTTGCCTATAGAAAGAGACCCAAACTAGTTTGGGTTCCTAAGACTAACCTCTGAATTTTTTTTAGCAGGTCCAAGTGAATGGGAGCAGCCAAATATGGTACATGAATAGTGGCTGTTCAAAGCACATTACAGAAAACAAGAACCAATTCCTTTCACTTGAGGACCTTAAAGGAGGTAATGTCTCCTTTGGAAATGGAAAGAAATGTGAGATCATTGGGGTTGGAAAGGTAGGTAAGACTGATTCTCACTCTATTGAGAATGTCTACTTGATAGATGGACTGAAGTACAGTCTAATAAGTGTATCACAATTGTGTGATAGAGGTAACATAGTAGCCTTCACCTCTACAAAATACTTTGTGATTAATCTTACCACTGACAAGATAGTTTTGCAGGGAAAAAGAGTTAACAACATATATGTTGTGGATCTGTCCACACTTTCGGATAATGAACTCACTTGCTTAAGTGTGTTGGATAATGATCACCTCCTTTGGCACAAGAGACTTGGACATGCCAGTCTAAGCCAACTCAACAAACTAGTCTCCAAGGACTTGGTGATAAGGGTTCCTAACATTAAGTTCAAGGAAGGTAAAGTTTGAGAGGCTTGTGCAAGGGGGAAGTGTCGACACCCCCTTTTTATCGCGAAATCAGGTTTACGACATTTGGGCGGACAACTCTATTCCCTTTTGGGATTTGGGTTTTTGGATTTGAAGAGTCGCCGCCTAATGATTAAGTGCATTAGGACACTAAGAGTTTTTGAGTTGGAAAACCAGAGTTCGGGTAAGGGCTAGAAATTATCTCGAGGGAAAGGTGTTAGGCACCCCTCAAGATCCACTAGTGTGGTTCCCGGCCATGTCATATTGAGACTTTAAATGCAAACAACAAGAAGGAAAACAAGTACAAAGGGGTTTTCACATAATAGTTGCAAGAGATTAAGTAAGTTAAAGAAACCGAATTTTGATAGAGGAAGCAGTTTTGAAATCTTGAATAAAGGAAGAAATTTTCATATAGTTGTTGCAAGCAGTTTAAAAGCTGAAGTTTTGGTGAAAAAGTAGTTGAAATTCTGAAAATAAAGTGGACAAATGAGGGAAGGGGTCCTAGGTTTATACATAATATGGATCACTCCACACAACACCCGGTAACCGTTTATACGCGTGGTGTTATCGCGTGGTCATCATATCCATATCTACCCGTTCCCACCCCGTTAAGTTATTAAATGCGGAATGGTCTCGTTTTACCTATTGCATGCTATTACCCGCCCCCATCTTATCAGTCCCGGAGGCACTTAGGACCACTAATCCTAAAGGGTAGGATATTAGGCTGATCGATTTCAAAGGATAAAAATCTAAGGCGACATACAAAACATATACTGCATGTTGGGGGAAGCATGTAGACATATAAAGGGTCATATATACCTCCTCAAACAAAACACATAAATAGCATGACTTAAACACAATTAAGGTCTCAAAAGATAGGAGCAGTTAAAACTTGGCTTTGAAAACGAAGTAGTAGCAATAATAGCACGGTTCTGGGCAGAGATGAGTAACCTAGTAAATAAAATCAGAAGCTCAATAAAAGTAAGTAGGTGCATAATTTCAAAATCGTTTTCAGCAAAGTTTTGTTTAAGAAAAAGCTGAGTGAACTTCAGAAAATCAAAACAAGAATGGCAGAGTTAAAACTTAAAGAAGTTGGTTGGTTTTAGGCTAATAGAAACACAATTGATCAGTTCTTATTGGACCTGAAGTTTGCCTAGGCGTCGTTACACATTGTCTGGTTATTTAGAGAATGAACACACATATTTTGATTCTGATTTATAAAGGTACGCGTGATAAGATATTTG